CCCCCCCCCCAAAACAAATAAAAAAACCTAAAACAACCCCCTTCCCAAAAACCACAGACCACAGCAGGTCAGAACTTTTCTTTTTTTTTAACACTGGAGTCTTGTTTGAAATCATTCTGTATATTTTAGTTTGGATAGGGATGATCCTGCCTCAGACGGGGAGTTGGGCTAAATGATTTCCATAGGTTCCTTCTAGCCCTACTTCTCTCTAATTCCCTATGCTTTTGTGAATCATGTTTGCACACTTACCAGTGCTAATGTTGCATGAAATCCTGTGGCACCCCTTAAAGGATCTCAAGGCACCCCACAGTGCCATAGCACTGTGGCTGAAAATTATTGCTCTTAAGATTAACATTTTTAGGACCGTGAATCTCATTGAGGCTGTCACAGCATCCTAGTGTGCTTTGAGATGCTTTAAAAGGGTGATGGACAATATTAGGTTAGGTGTGAATTCCTGGATAGGCGTTTTCACAACATAAACCCAGAGATTTCAAATTGGAATCCATAGTGCATTTCTGGTCTGTTGTGCTCTGAGTTCTTTGCAATAGAAGAATTGTTTTATTAATAAAGGTTAAGACTCATTTGCCTAGTAGATATAGTGTTGGTGGCTGGGGGATATGGGGCGGGCTTTTTCTTTTCCTAAACTGCCACAGCATTGATCTTGGCTTCATAGTCATGACTACTTTTTAAACTGTTGCACTGGCAGACAAATTTCTAAATAGGGTTGGGTATTTGATCAAATAAAGTTTGGTCAATTGACCAGTCATATTGATCAAAAACTGTATTAAAAATTGCCAGTAGGTCCAAACAATACATAGAAAAACACAATTTTTGCATTAAGAAATGTGTCAAAATGTTAAAATTGTAGTTTTCTTAACAGAAATATAACAAATGTGGGTTGTGTTTTGGTTTTATGTTTGTTTGTTTTGTTTTTTAAAATTGCTATAATCTTTGACTGGTCAAAAAATGTGCAGTCAATTGACAATCGTTGACCAGTCAGTTGACTGGCTTGCCAACCCTAGTTCTAAACTCCTGGCTCTCAAAAGTACTTCCAGAACTGTTTAGCAGTGTTCTCACTGGAACCATGCAACTGCCTACAAAGGTTAGAGTCTGATTTCAGTCATGGTTGTGTAGACTTGAGGCAATGCCACCTAAATCATTAGTTGGCTCTTGGTATATATAGTTTTAACTTCATTATCTTATCTAACAGTCTACTGGCCAGTGGGTATTATGGCTTGTATTAACAACACATCAAGGTTTACAGGGCTTTCTTCAGCTCTTTAAAGCTACCTGACCTTCTGTGTAAAAGAGGTTAGGTGAGTAAAACTTGTATCCTTGGCAGTTCATGCTGAGAGGCTTGAGTCTATCTAGTTTCTTTTTATTACTGCTTGTAATCCCTGCTGCATCTCTAACTCTTCACTATGCCACTCCTAGGTAAGCCTAATCATCTGATGCATGAGACTTCAGGCTCCTATAGTCCAGTGAGATGTTGCTCTCGACTGGAAAAGCACAGTTGCTTCATTTGACATGTAGTCAATCTATCCTGCAGTTGAACTGAGTTTGTAGTATAGACAGGATCCAGCAGTGCCCTTTTATTAAAGATAAAGCTTGGCACAGGTTAGGGTTGTCCTAGTTATGTGATGCAGATAGAGCCTGGGGAAAGAGTTGAAGTTCTGTTACAGCTTGAGTGAAGAAAAGAGGCCTTTCAGTGATTGATTTAAGTGCAGGAAACGATTGACATAAGGAAATGCTGCCACTTAAAAGGGTTCTCAGTCTAGATAACTTTCAAGACTTGCAGAGGTATTCTGGCACTTCAAAGGCTAAGACCCTCCAGTTACTGAAATGAAATGGACCTTTTCTTGCTTTCATTTGGTTTCTTTTGTGAAAGCAAGTTGTGACTGTAGGGGAGACCCTTGCTGCCACTACTGCAGAACGTTACTGGTTAACTTGGCTACATGTGACCATGTACTGAGGAAACAAATCTGCATCTGTATAATGAAGGGGCTTATGCAGCTTGCTTTGTAAGCCATGCCAGAAGCTGCTTTGAAGCTCTGATTCGTATTCTTCCCTCCTAAAAGAAGGGTGTCTGAGTGCCTAGCTGCACTTGGACCTTCTCTAATTTAGAGAGGTTAATGGATATATGTGCATGTTCCCATGTAGCACTTAATTGTTGGCTAATCCTGGTTGGAGGGATACTGTGTGCAAGTAGTTA